ATCTAGTCTATGTCCAATTCAATTCTCGTTTATTGAACAAGCGCAAATGGAGGAAAGAAAAGGATGTGTTACTTGCTAGTGAGGCAAGTAAAGCTCAAGAGTGGATTATTCAGGGATTAGTAGACGAGGAAGATGAGGACGTTAATGGACTTGAAGTTGAGGATGGCACATCAAGAGTGAGAGAGCTTGAAGAAGAAGATTTTGAATCCGAGGAAGAGGAACAAGTTAATGAGAATGACATTGACTTTGAGTCGGATGAAGAGCGTGTATTGGAGAATTATGGAGAAGAATAAGAAGATCCTCTTGTGCTTGGCTATATTTCTTAGATATTGGCTATTGTTGCTTATTAGTGTTTTGGACATTTGGTCATGTGTGTTGTTTTGAATCTTTGATACTTGGAGTTTCTTTTGAGATTGTGGTTATGTAATTATTATTTATTACTACTTAGTACTTAGTAGTTTTTATGTATTTATTTGGACTTGGAGTTTGTTTTGAGTTTGTTTTAGACTTGGATTTTGTTTTTTGGATTGTGGTTAGTACAATATTACTAACTTGTCATGTGGGTTACGGGGTTGCTAATGTGGATTGCGTAATTGCTATCATGTTTTCAATTTTCAATTTTTAATGTGAATTGCTAATTGCTATCATGTTTTTAATTTTCAATTTTTCATTATAATAAATTAATATTTTTAGGAAGTGAAAAAAAAAATAAACAAAAAATAATATATTTAATATTATTTTCTAGGCCCCGCCTAGGCGCTCTAGGCGCTAGGCGTTGGTCGGGCGCCTAGCGGGCGCCTAGCGACTTCTAGAACAGTGCTAATTAGACGAGGAGAAGGGTTAATCTCTCCTCTTAGGGCTTAACTTAGGGTTTGACTAACCAATCTTGGTCAACAATCTATCCAAGAGAGAGAAACGGGTCTAGTCGGGGCTCTCAGGCTCGAAACGGTTCGCAAGAAAAATAGAATTTGACTTTAATACGGTTTAACATAATAAACTGAATTTTCAAACGACTTAATTAAGTTAAATCGAACGAAACAATTTAACATTATATTATTCGCAAACAATATAATGTTATGGCTAAAATACGAAATCGAGCAACAATAATAAATACCTGGCATATAAGTTTATATATATAAAACACATAATTATAAATAAATAACATTTAGACATATTTAGGCATTTACCAATTTCAATAATAATAATAATAATAATAATAATAATAATAATAATAATAACATTTAGACATTTAATGATATTTAGGCAATTAATTATTAATTATTAACAAAAATTTAATTCAACTATAATCTAACTTACCTTAATTAAACTCGCGGTTTCCTGACTGCTGAGAATCCCGAAGGTTCATCGATTTACTGCCAATCTTTAGCACTTACAGCTTCTATATTAATAGTAAGCATTAATTGTCGTTTAATCTATGAGATTGGTGATATGTGTTGATATGGTGTTTTTGTTGAATTCATTATGCGTAGCTGTGATTGCTAGGGATAAAGGTATAATTGTCTTGTTCGTTCAGATTTGTCAGGGTCTTGATTTGTTCAAATTCATGTGAGTTGTTTTAAAAAAAGGGGTTTCCAATTTGCATGCGTGAATGTTGAATGTTGTTGAAGAGTGACACCTCAACCTGCAATTGATTTTCAGTTGAACATGATTCGTTCGGGTTTGATGTTATTAATCTTTAAAGATTAGTCGGTTAACCACCTTCTAATTTAATGAAGCACCTTTTAGAACCAAAAGGGGAGAAGTGGTAGACCTAGGCTATGATGAGATAGATGATTTCGTACAAGAAAAGTCTATAGGTTTTTGGATTATGCTCGTCTACGTCCTTTCCCTTGTTACAAGAGTTATTAGGATCGGACCCTATACCGTGTTGTATGCTTGACTTTGTTCATCTATGTTCAATCCCTTGTTACAAAAAGTTATTTGGAACGAACCGCTAGATGCTTAAACAGAGCGTCAATTTTGGACCGAACATATAATTGTCCGGTTTTGCGTCTAGAACTAGAACAATATCCTCGAGTCCCTAGCTTCTTTATGATTGTTTGATTCGTGTTCTTGAGTTGATTTCTGATTTTGCATTTTCTGATATTTCGTAGTTGATAGTTCAAGTCAGACCTTCTTGATTAGAGATTTTAGGTGTTATTTTCTTTTTGTGTGTGATCAACACTGAATCTAGATTCCGAACCGCCTTCCTCGAGAGATCGACCCGAGGTCGGGAGTCATACCTTACTCGGTAAAACATAATTTGCTACAAGAAAGAGGCTTTAAGAAATCCAATTAATGGCACCACCAAGATTTATTGGAGATCGTGTAAAGGTAATACAATAGAAGATTCAAAAGTTATTAATTCAGATCCAGTTGAATATATATATACGTTCATCTCGTCGAATATATTCATCCCCGCAGCAGCTCCGATGGCCACCAAAACTGGATAGGACAACAACCGGAGGAAGAGCAGCTCACCGGAGTTTCTGTTAGGAACGTCGGCAATGTGCACATTCAAATCTATTGAATACTAAATCCTAAAGCAGCATAATCTATATTAGGATTAGAACTTATGGTTTAAAATTTTTATCGACTCTGAGATGTTTTTACCGCTGTAAAAAATTGTCTAATCCGCAGAGTCCGTTGGGCAGCCGGACTTGGCCTCATCAATGCGTTCCGGTTGATTCTCGGGCTCATCAGATTGTCTTGGACCTTCGGTAGGTGATCGGACTGCTCGGAACTCGCCGTTGGGCTAAACTAGGGCTTCTGGACCGAGCTGGACTTGTTCGGGCTGTACTGGCCTGGATTGGGCTGGGCTGGATCGGGTGTGGGCTCACAGGGCCGTGTCTAGTTAGGTTTAGGTCGAATTGGGCTCGTTGGACTTGGGCCGCGGACGCTGGGCCTGGTCGGCTCGCGCGGGGTGTTCACCCAGCCTGGGCCGCGTGCAGGGTAGCTAACCTCGGATGCACGCGCGCAGGGGCGTTGCGGTCGCGCGCAAGGAAGTCACAGATCGCGCTCAAAATTGCGTCTGCGTAGGGGCGGCTGGTGAGATGTCGCCGTCCGCGCACCTCTAGTTCTCCAAGCTACAAAAGTACTTAATCCCTAAGCATCCAAAGTATTTATAAAAGAAAAGAAACTCAGTTATTCAGCGGTGTAAGAACACTTAAATACTGGACCGAATAAAATAAAATAAAAAGAATAAAAAACTCTCAAACACTCAATTGAATCTGATGAATGAGTAATTTGATTATTGCAACAACTCTCTTCAATTGATTGTTTGAGTAGGCTTATATACAATCTCCTTGAGGTAAGGAGTTTTCACAAGTTTCTCCTTTTCCTTTTAGGGGACAATTTCCTTCTCAATTGGCTCATTTCAGATTTGGACGAAATCCTTCCTTTAGAATAAGTTTTCTTGAATTAGAATCTGTGTATGTGATTTAGAAATCTTCAAAATTGAGTTTCCAATGGAGATCTTGTATTTCCCTACTCGTGCAAGAACACGACTCTCCTAATATAGACGATCTTCAAAATCTCAAATATCTTCCAGTGAATCTTTCCAAATCCTCCTTAGATCTTCTCTGGAAAATGTTATCAAATAATGATTTGACTATAAAGTTTAAAATTAAGTCTTAAATCAATATTTTTCAGTTTGATTATAATAATGAGAAAAGAAAGATAACATCCTGAGTATTATTATTAATTTTGAAAAGTGAAAAACTTGCTCTGATTTCACAACATATTAAAAGCGGGGTGTTACACATCCAGAATTATTTATGATGAATAGTTCATCCTTTCATAGCCCTTGCCACTTATTCCTTGTACTACAAGAGAGATACTAATTATGACATACAATCAAACTCATTATTTCAAGTGTAATATATATAAAGTGAATATATAAAATATGTGTTATGTAATCCTTCTCCTAAAAGGTTAGGACACCATAATCTATACTTATATTAAAAGGCATACTATTTACTAAAAATAGTAGCAAGAAAAGTCAACTCACATTTAATGCATACTTTATTTGGAAATTTTTTACTATATGCATTAATTGTTTGTATATACACATTTCCTATTCAAATATAATCAAAAAGATTCTTTCCTTAAATAATTTTATTAACTTCTGCAATAATTTTAATTATATGTATTATAATTCATATTTGACGATAATATTTTTTAATTTTTATTTGAGTATATAAAAAAATATATATTTTTTAAATTAATATTTTATTTATCATTTAAGATATAATGATCACATCATTAAATGATGTTACTGATGGCTAGATAATAAATTTAAATACATTAGTTATTCTTTAAAATTTTGACATGTTATTTATTTGTATATCTATACTTATTATATAAGGTATTCTATTTACCAAATTTAGTAGATTGAAAAGTCAACGTAATTAATGCATTGCTATTTCTCTCCAGAATTTTATTTAATTATTTTATTTATTTATCTTTTATCCCATAAAATCAGTTTAAGAAAAAAATTTCATAACATCTGACAAGTAAAAAAAAGACGTAAAATATTTACTAAAATAAAAAGACTTTATTTATTTGTCTTATTCCATATTAACATCGATTTTGTCAAAACAAATTCCATTAAATCAGTGAAGCCAAAATTTGTACGTAAAGTCTATCTATACTTAAAAAAAGTCAGATTCAAAATTCTTTATCTAATTCCTTCTTTTTCTTATCCATTTCCTTCTTTTCCTTATCCAATTCCTTTTTATTATCTAATTGTATGAAAATCTGTTCTGATTTTGTTCGATCCTCTAATTGTATTTATATTATATTCCATAATACCTGTTTAACAAAAAAAATCCCATAACATCCGATAAGTAAAAAAACAAAGTACGTAAAATCTTTACTAAAATAAAAAAGGTTTTATTTATTATCTAATTTATTATCTAATTGTATGGAAATCTGTTCTGATTTTATGGTACGTACTACAAATTGTGCACCCATGTTCAAGAGCTACTTAACGGACAAGCTATGTGGAAATGACTCATTTAGTGCTTCTGTCTCGTGCATACGTATGTATTTTTATTACACATACTAAAAAATTGTGCACCCCGTGCATCGCACGAGCTCTGTACTAATAAATGACATTAAAATTATGCACCCCGTGCATCACCCGTGTTTACATTTTGGCCTATTACAAGTCACGTACTATATATATCCCGTACATATTTTTTTATAATTCATTTATATAATTATAAGACTCGATAAATGACCTTAAAATTGTACACCCCGTGCATCGCACGGGCTCTGTACTAGTACATATTATATAATAAATACTTCAAACTTAATTAATTCACAAATCAATAGATAGAAAACTTTCTTTGCATTTATTTTGATTCCTAACAAGAAAATCTTTTATAAAATACTGAGCTTTGTGGTATGATGCAAATTAATATTCTTGGGTTAAATTGGGACAAGTACAACATATAAGAAATTTTTCCCCATTTCCCTTTCTATCTATAAAATTGGGAGCAGATTATGTTTGGCATTAATCTGCACCATTCATTTTGGTAGCAGGCAGCCTTCCTTCGGTTTCCTCTTCCACGGGTCGGCAGCAAACCACTCTCTTCACTTCTCTCCGTGAGCAAAAGGTTTAATGGTTGACCCTTGATCACTCAGTCTCCCAAACCAATCATGGCTGTTTCACTAAATTCAGCCAATATCTTCAGTCCCACTGTATGCCTTTCTTTCACGAGCTCTCCTTATCCTCTCTACTTTGTTTTTGTTTGTGCATGTAATTGTGCATTTTTGTAATTATGCTATCGTTACTTTCTCGATTTTAGTTCACTGGATTGCGGTTAAAACTTGGGTGATGATTGAATTGATTGATCGGAAGTTATGTTCGTGACCGAACATTTGGTTGAACATGTGTTTGCTTTGCCAAGGTTGTCCCTTTTTTTGCTTTACTTTTTTTTTTTTTTTTTCTTTTTTCATCCTCTTTGTTGAGAAGCGAAACATAATTCGGCTCAATGTTCATTATTGTTTTAGGTATGTGGCATATGTCTATTTTCACTTGACAAACCCATTCAATCAAAAAGACGTGCCTATATGACCTCTCTCTCTCTCTCTCTCTCTCTCTCTCTCTCTCTCTCTCTCATTTGAACTATATGTGCAATCATCTTGTATCCCTGGGTATGGAGTGTTTCAAATTATAGACAAAAGCGACTTGTAGTCATAAATATTTTAAGACTACAACTAAGACCCTTTTTTGCAGGTTATCAAACAGACCCTTAACCAGTGAACACATGAGACACATGTATCTAATTTTTTGGTTGGTTAATGTTAGCACTATGACTGTTTTTGTTTCTGCTAGTATATACATTCATGTCTAGACTCGGTTCATGTTTCATACCATGTTTTTCTGAATGAAAATACTCATTTGACATTCAGAAACATGACCTTAATTAAAAAGCACTCAACGGGCATTCTCAGCTCCTCGATTGTGCATAGTTGCGATGCTTGTACGAACATTGCATACTATAATATGACGACTCTGGTTTGACTGAATCATTAATCACTACTATCTTCTAAAAATTTGAGGTGGAATGCAAATAGTAATTTGGTGGGGAACATGAGAAATCATTGCAATGTTGATTGCAGTTAAAGGATGGATCCATCTACACTCGTTTTGTATCTTATTGAATATGATTGACTGTAGTTCATCATCTTCATAGCTTTTCAAGACTTTCATTTCCACTGTTGTGCTTCTGTTACCGAAATAGGTAGTGTTGAACTCTGAGGGCTTAAGTTCTCTTGATGAGTCGTGGACATTAGACATGCTGACTAACTTTGTTCATACAATTTAATATGGGAACTGTGCATTCTCTCTCTCTCTTTCTCTCTCTCTCTCTCTCTCTCTCTCTCTCTCTCTCTCTCTCTCTCTCTCTCTCTCTCTCTCTCTCTCTCTCTCTCTCTGTCTCAAGAAGGTCAATTTGATTGCAGTGGAACTTGTATGTTTTCATACACATCTCTTACTTGATTTATTTCCATATATATTTCCTTTTCGGTCTATTATCCCAGGTAAACTATCAGCCGACAACTAGACCTTACATTAGGGTACTATTACTCAAGGTCCATTCCGTCTCATCTCTCTCACCTCCAGTTAAATTGAATTTTAAAATATCAAGAATCCACCACCGTTTAGCTGTTGGAGGTGAAACAGAACCAACCGAGAAAGACTCTAAACCAGTCCAAGGATTAAATTCTAATGATGAGCCCTCATCAAGTGTTGCACCCAACATAAAAGAGAACAGACTCCTGCAAAACAATGAGGCTTCACAGTCATCCAATGGGCCCGTATATCCTGATCCGAGCCTGTCCGCACCCAACCCGAGCCTGACCTCAAAACGGGCCCCACTAACAGCGAGAGAGAGGCTGAGGGCTGCAAGAGTGCTAAACCGTTATAACGACTCGAAGCCGACGAAGACAGGACTCAGAAGCAATTTCTTAGAGGCTTTGAGAAACAGCGATAATGAGGGAAATAGAAAGCGGTCGGGCCTTCCGGAAGCACCTTCAAATTTGTTTGACGACAGCAAGAAAGGTCTACCTAAGGAGGGGTGGACGATCAATCTCCCAGGAGGTATGGATGTTTTCTTTATTGTCTTTTCTTTTGTGTTTATTAGTACAATAATGTTTGCAACCACGTATGTCGTCTGGAAAGTTGGGGCCATACATTTTAATGAGTATTAGGTCTCTGGGTGAGCATTGATTTGTGATCTTTTGGATTATTAGAATGTAAAGTATTTATAAGTTATGGTTACATTTGTTTAGCTCATGCACTGTTATGCTAGTCCATTCTCAATGTTGAGGTATTTATTACTCGTGCTAGTTGCGTGGATATAATACTATATTGGGCTTTCTGAGAAGGCACATTTTCTCTGGATTGATTTACAAATTTGTATACGATACGAATGAATTGTCAAGAGACAAGAATTATGGCCTCGTTTGTCTATTAGCGGATTGATGCTTAAACAGTGGATGGTCAAATCAACTAATACATTGTACAATTAGGCATTAGCTAATTCCAAAAGCCATATGTAGACGGTAGTAAAAATGTTAAAAAATAGATTTTACAACCGTCACACTATACCCTGAATACCAATGTTCTGAAAACCGGACCGGTCATCGAACCGGTGAAGCTACTGGTTCAATGGTTCACTGGTCGGACCAGTGATCGAATCGGTCGAACGGTTTATCTAATATATAATTTATTTAATTATTTTATATGCATAATATATTATTATATATATTTTTATTATTAATTTTATAGCTACATTTTTCTAAACAAGAGCTGATGAATCAATTTTTAAGTATAATTTACAATAAGCAATACTAATTTAAGTTCACTAAAATAATATATTAATAATAAGAGAAATACTCACCTACCCAAGGTGGGCACATGTTAATATGCCCACCGCGTAGGTGGTATGTACTCATTGGTGATGTATTTTTTTAAACATATTAACATCACCAATGAGTGGATGCCACTTACGCGGTGGGCATATTAACATGTGTCCACCGTGGGTAGGGGAGCATTTCTATACATAATAATTCAATATCTACAAAGCAATCCAAATTACAAATACAAACTACAAAGTCATCAAACATCAAAATACACAACATTATAACCACGAGAGCCGCTCGAGACAACAACAACAGAAAGGAGTGGGCGAACGAACAATGAACAGGGGTCGTGCACTAATCGGACGAGCAAACAACGATCGGGCCGAGAGTGCAAACAAGGTGCAAAGAAATGTCGGCTGAGAGGAACACAGGCATCTACCCACCACACGGCTGATTGGAGCTCACCGGAGGTGCGACCAACTTGTCATCGGAGTGAGTTCACGACGAGAGAAAATCTGTCGGACTGTTGGAGCCGCGAAGTGATCACAAACGGAATAAATATGGTTGGAGACGGCGAGGTGTTCACGGAAGGAGATGCGACCGCCCGGAGATGTAGGGTTTTGGATTGGGACTTTCTTGATTTCAGAATTTGGGAGAGTATACGCGGAGATGACGATGTCATGTGACTTTTCCCTTTTCTATTTCTTTTCTTTTAGTTTAATTTAGTAATTTTGTCTTTTTTTTTTTTAATTCAATAAGCTTATGTTTTATTTAAGAACCGCCCAACCGGTCAAACCAGTACCGGTTCGCCGGTTTTTTTGGTTTTTGACCGGTTCGGACGGTTCAATAACGGTTCTTAAAAACAGCGGTCCAAACATGCAAACCAGACCGGTACTAGGTCCGGTTCCCGGTCCAACCAGTCGAACCGGTCGGTCCAGTCCGGTTTTCAGAACATTGCTGAATACTTTACCATGAACAATGGCCGATCTAAGTAAATAATCCAAATGACGCCAAATTAATTAAATTGATTTCATTACTTTATGGACACTTGAAATTTGTAGCCTAACTCGACAAGACAATTCTTTAAAAATGAATTATCGTTCGAAATATTTTTCCATACATGAATGCAAATATTTCATAACTAGTATGTACAATATCTGTGTACTACACGGCTACTTGTTATGAAATTTATTTTTAAAATTAAATGATAATAACATCGACAATTATTTAAAATTAAATATATGTATTTATTAGGTTAATTTGAGTTTTTCATGAAAATTAATGAGCCGATTGAGAACTTCCAAAACGAGTCAAATTTATATTGGTCAATAAATATCATTACAAAAGGTTTCAATATAACTTAAGGGTTATATTAGTCACACTATTATGGAGTTACCAAGTTAGTTTTTCAATATTTTTGAAATATCTGAACCTAAAATTAATGATTTAGAATAATATTATTTTTCATCCAAACTAAACTACGAAGCATGTTTTTTCGCCAAGTTGGATTCTAAAGCATGCGAGACTGTCATTTATGCTCAGCGCATTCTGCAATTATATATAGCGGGATTTAGCACATCTGACAGATACCAAACTTAAAAAGGCGAATTTCTTTTACAAGCTAATATACATGCACTTTTTTTTACATATTGTCCCATCAAAAAACATATTTTCACCCCAATACTCACAAACCTATTTGCGACATAAAAATTGTATATCCAAATGAACGGCAAAATTAACAATTACGCGAAATTTTGTCGTATATATATTAATGCATATCCAACTCAGACGCATAGTTATAAAATATACGAAACACATTTGCATATTTGTCTATCGCCTATCTAAATCCACTGCATAAGTTTTGTTAAGTAAATTTATTTCACCTATATAATTATCGCATATCCAAATTGACCGCCGCATATTTTACGATTATGTGACAAGTTTTCGCATATTTTATGTCTCGCATATCCAAATCGGACGCATAGTTAACAATTACGCGAAATGCGTACGCATATTATGCAATCCCGTATTCAAATTGAACGTTGCACATTTTATAATTATGCATCATATTGTTGTATAGTGTACGACTCGAATATCCAATCCATCGCATTATTTACCATATGTGAGAACTTTTCGCATATTCTGTTAACGCATATTCTAATCGAATGTCACATATTATATGTTATGCAACATATTTTTGCATAATTCTCAAATCGCATATCCAAATCCACCACATAATTTACATATGCGATAATTTTTTTCATATTCATTTATCTCATATCCGGATCGAACTTCGGATATTTTAGATTATGTGACATATTTTCGCATAGTTGACTAGCATATTCAAATCCACCGCATAATTTACCATATGCGAGAAGTTTTCGTACATTCAAGAATCCAATTTCCAAATTCAACGTCGCATATTTTATGTTATGCAACATGTTTTCGCGTAGTTTACGACTTGCATATCCAATCCACCTGATAATTTACCATATGCGATAACATTTCACATATTCATAAATCGGGTAGCCAAATTGAATGTTGCATATTTTATATAATGTTATGCGACATGCTTTCCTATAGTTTACGTCTCGCATATCCATATCTACTGCTTAATTTACCTTGTGCGTTAACATTTCATATTCAATAACCGCATATCAAAATCGAGCGTCGAATATTTTATGTTGTGCGATTTTTCTTTTTATTTTTTTTGGCATAGTTTTGCGTCTTGTATATCCGAATACACTGCTTAATTTGCTATATGTGATAACGTTTTCAGAAATCACATATCCAAATCAAACCTCACATATTTAATGATTATGCGACAAATGTTCACATAGTTTACGACTCATATATCTAGATCTATAATGTCGTATAACTAACGATTATGCGTAATGTGTTCGCATATTTAATAATCACACATCCAAATTGAAAGACGCATAATTTAGTATGATTATGCGTAATATGTTCGTTTATTTAAGAATCACACATCCAAATCGAAAGTAGCATAATTTAGTACTCTCCGCCATTTTTTCGTTGCTCTTTACCATGAATTTCATATCCCAAGATAATGTTTCACATATTATTCACATAGTTTACACACCACATTGATTGCCTGATTTTTCACGTAAAAAAACTTAGACAAATGGCTTTAGACAAATGACATGTATATATACCACCATTATTAGTACTCGTTAATTGCTAACCTTTTACTTATCGAATAAGAAACAAATGAAAAAAAAACTAGCATGAGTTAAATCCTTATATTCCGATCGCAACAAAAAAAAGACTAAGCATGTTTACGAAAAAAAATAGATAGGATTTAACACAATAAGAAGATCACGATCAGCTTTCTTGGCGTGGATTGGATCGTGGATGAAGAAGTTGCTTGCTATCGAGTGCTTTTCAAGAAGTGTTGAGAGGAAGCACACATACACCAAAACCATATGTTCAATTCCTTGTGGCCAGAAATTTCGCGTTCTTTAAACCGCATGTTGAGTTATGCCTATTGGGTTCTATTAGGAACGTCAACGATATGCAAAGTACTGAACTTATTGAAATAAATCCTAACGCAGTGGAATCTATAGTTAGGATATGGGCATTACCTTTTAAAATTTTTGCGGACTCAGAGACTATTCTGAATACAGTTGATGAAGTTCGTCTGAACATCACAATTCGATGGGCTGACGGATTTGGTCTTTACTCGATCATAATAGAGTTGTCGAATGAATCACGGTCGGGTTGTCTCGATGTCGGGTCGGGACTAGCTCGGTCGCGGGTCACGGTCGTTGGTTGGTCGCGAACGGGCACTAGCGGGTGGACGCAGGCAGATGATCTCGGTCGCTGGCGCTGGTCGCGGGTGCGCGTCGTGCTCGTGACGCGTGGATGATTGTGCAAACGCGGGCTAGGCGCTGGACAGTAGTACGCGCGACTAAGATCGCTGGCAGGTACGCGTCGCGGACAATTGTTGTGTACCGCGGATGCGGGTTAATAGTGCAGGACAGGCGCATGTGATGAAGATCACGTGTACCGACTGCCGATAAGCCACAAACCAGTGCCTTGAATCGCCGACAGGTGTCTAGAGGTTCACAAACTGCACCACTCTAAATGAATAAAATTGCAATAGAAATCAAAAGAAATCTAAGAAAAAGTATTTGAACAAAAGTTCAGATTTTTATTGATAAATTTGATGATGAAAATAACATGGGGAAATGGCTTTTATATAGGCACCACCTAGATCTAATCCTATTCAAACTTTAACTCTAATTAAGCAATAAAATATTAAGTAACCTAAACAAACTAGATATCATAGCATAATAAGGAAACTAAATAACTAGGGATCTTGACCTTGTCTTGCACTTCACGTAATTCTCTCTCTTTCTCTCGCGGCTGCCTCACTGAAATCGCCTTGTCGCGCACCGCCTCCTACGCCCTAGTCTTCGAGGAGTAGGGCACTGCCTTTCCCCGCGCCTGTGCGCCTGCCAGGCGTGTCGCGCACGTCGTCGCTGCCAGCTGCCTCCTAGTGTGCGTGGCTTCCGCCAGCCTTGTCGCATGCCTCGAGCCATGAGGCTTTGTGGCCTGTGCTCGTACCGCGCCCGCGCGCCTCGCGCTCGCCTTCGTCCACAGCGGCCCCGTCGCGTGCGTTGCCTCCACTGCCCGCATCCGCTGCGTCTGCCGCTTACACGCGTTCGGTCGTGTCGTCCCACTGGCCGTCCTCGCACGCCCCACGCGCATTCCACTCGAGAGCACGTACCTCAGCCGTCTCTCGCGCTAACCTATTTTGTGCGTGATAGGCGCGACTTGCGACATTCTTAAGCTGCCTAGCCACTTCCGCATCATTCTCGTCCCTTTCAAGTGTTTCCTTGTCCTCAAGGACGAAATTCAGGAATTGATCACGCATCTCACCTAGATCCTCCCATGTGGCTTCCTCCGGTGGCCACTCTTCCCACTCGACCAACACTTCCCAATGATAGCGACCTGCTTTCCTTACTTGGCGATATTCAATCGCTCGACTTGGTCGCACTATGACCCGTCCATCAGTCGCGGTCGCTGGTAGTTCCTCGCACCACTTGTGTGCTTCTCCTAGACTTCTTTTGAGCTGAGAGACATGTATGACAGGATGAATCTGCGAACTTTCCGAAAGCTCTAGGCGATAAGCCACTTGGCCTATACGCTTCAGGATCTGATAGGGCCCATAGTAGCGAACCTCAAGCTTAGTTGCCGCCCTCTGCGTGGTCGTGCGCTGCCTGAATGGTCGCAGCTTTAAGTAGACATATTCGTCCAGCGCGAAATTCTCCTCTCGCCGTTTTCCATTTGCGAAGGCTTTTGCGCGATTGATCGAACCCTACAGATTTTTCTTCAACTCTCGAAACATCATATCTCGCTCTCAAAACTACTTGACTGAGTAAAGACTATGTTTGCATGATCACAGGAATTCAAAACGTCTTTCAATCCGTTGTCCGTAATTCTCAAAGAAAACAAACTTGTTGGTCCCAATTATATTGACTGGAAAAGGAACTTGGATATTGTGTTAACTGTTGAAGGGTACAAATTTGCTACTGTTGAGGCTTGTCCGGCTGTGCCTGTTGACAATGTACCAGACCAAGAGAAAGAAGAGTATGCTCGGTGGAAAAAGGCTGACGAGATGGCGAAGTGTTACATCTTGGCATCTTTGTCAAATGTACTT